AAGGTTTTTTCCATATTTTACACACAGGCATTTTAGCCTGATTTTTCCTTTTATACTGACGTTACTTAAATTTATGAGCAGTTGGCAACCCTGAGAAGGAGATAAACATCCTAGGATAATAGAAAAACAGGTTAGAGATTACTCAAAGAAGCTAGATGCTTTCATCTCAGCAGGGCCAGAAGGGATGCACACCAGGGTATTGAAGGAATTAGCTTAAGTAATTTCAGAATCATTGGCTATCCTCTTTATGAACCTGTGGAGGTCAGGTGAGGTCCTGGATGATTGGAAAAGGACAAATATAGTGCCTATATTCAAGAAAGGAAAGAAGGAGAATCCAGGGAATTACAGACCAGTCAGCCTGACTTCAATACCTGGAATAATCATGGAACAGCTACTCAGGGCATCTATTGCAGAGGACCTAGAGAAGAACAAGTTGATCAGAAACAGCCAGCATGGATTCACCAAGAGTAAGTAATGACTGACCAACCTGACTTGCTTCAATGATAAGGTTAGGAAGAGCAGTGGATATGATATATCTTGATTTTAGCAACACTTCTAATTGTCTCCCATGGCATTCTCATTAACAAGCTAAGGAAATACAGATTAAATTAAAGTACTATAAAGTGGATACATAACTGATTGGGCAATTGTATTAAACGAGTAGTCATCAATGAGTCAATGTTTACTCGGGAGGAAATATCAAATGGAGTCCCCCAGGAGTCTGTCCTGGGCCTGGTATTACTGTATTTACTCAAATGTAGATGACCCTGATAATAAGATGATCTCCTAATAATCAGATTCTATATATGGAAAAATTATCAAGTTGATAGAATTTTACAGGTATAGAATCTAATGATTGGAAATGTGTCTTGAATTTTGCCCAGTCCTACTGCTACAGCAGGGAAAATAAATACGGGGAGTCAGGTACCCCTTTGCCTGCCTTCTACCCCGCCCCTCACCTTCTTCCCCCTGCAGCTCCTTCCCCTCCTTCTTACTGTCCAACCCTGCTTTCCCTGAGTATGTGGAAGTGAGGCTCAAATTTGAATAAAATACCTTGAAATATGCATAGTTGTAGTAATTTGCATATATCACCCATAGAATTGATGCATTTCACCTTTCTGAAACTGCTGCAAGTTTTAGCAAATGTCCTCCATTAACACACTTTTGAGCTGCACTTTGGCACCTACTTATATGTAGTACAACCTGGGCATGTCTACATGCACCATTAGTGTGCAACAGTAAACTGTAGCACTTATTGCTCCATAGTTTATTGCTTCTGGGAAGCTCCTGGGCATGCTGATTATATGTGTACCCAGGCTGCAGCACATTGAGCCAGGTTGGAGCAACCCTAGCTGGCAGAGGCTCCTGGGGGGTCAGCCTGGGGCTGCTTTAACAAGGTTCAATGTGATGCAGAGGGGCTGGCTAGAGCATGCGGGTGCTTCAACATGTGTCTAGCTGTCATGCAACCCTTGAACTGAAGCACCCTCATGCCCTAGCCAGCCTGGTCAGCATCTACATGTGGGCTGATGCACATGAAGAAAACTCCACAGCAGTGCACTTGTAAATACTATAAGACTTTACAAGTAGTACCCTGAGTTTATTAGTTTCCTGCACCCTAATTAACCCTATTCATGACTGGAACTGGATGTTCTTGCTGTGAGTCCTGGGATGCTTCAAAAATGTATATGCAGATATGGCATAGAGCAGCCTGGTCCAGCTTCACCTCATGGATCATGGGGCCACATTAATCATATGCGACAGGCTGACAGAGGGGCCAACAGAGCGATTCTTGTGAACTGTTTGGAGCCAATTTCTGTGATGTTTGCCAGACATTTAAGGCTGGTGAAGAAACAGGAATAATTGGAAATGGGAAATAAAGGCACAGCTCAACTGTGGGAGTGAAGAGGAAGTCAAAATATATGCCATGTAGTGGCTCACAATGACTTGAAAAAGAGTAGGTGCTGAGGGGGACTGTGTTTAGTGGGCACTACCATAATTCTTATTCAGGTGGGTTGTACTAACATATGTTTAGAGGGGGTAAATTTCCTTTGGGTCAATTTTGACCCAAATCTGACTGGACAGAGAGCGTGGGAAGAGACCAAAGCCAAGGTCAGACAGTGAGTGGGACTATGGCAATCACGTCAACCTGGGAGGGTGGGGAAAAGGCATTTGTGAAGGCAGTGTTATGACTGATGCTTCTATACACCACTCTAGTCTTCTCCCCCTCACAGCAAGTCATCCATATGATCCAAAGAGCCGTGTGTGTGTCTTCTTGTGGAACTTCACATGGGAGAAAGTGGTGAGGACCATGCTGTACAAAGCAAATGGCCTAGAGTCAGAGGAATGCCAGATATCCTTCTATTCCTATGTGCCAAGTACATGAGCGAAAGTTGCAAACTGGCAACAGGGAAATAATCCAAAACAGCCTGTTTTGTAAAGTATTTTGCACAGCAACTACTGTGACAATAGTGGAAGTACACACTGACCAATGTGAGCTCATGGACCATGGAGTTCCCATGGTTGTACAAGGTCCTGAAACACTTCTAGGACAAATATAAACTGCACAAAAAGGTCCCAGTGACCCTAGCAAACCACCACAGGATGCAGGAAATGATAAGGGCAGGAGACATCATATCACCCATGGACCTACTACCTGGTAACAGCTGCCAGGCTGTAACAGGGAACCCTGGCCCTGTTACTGGAGAGTGGTGTGAGAAGAGTCTTTATAGCACAGACAGCCAACAGGAAGACAGTAGAAGACTATGGGAAAGAAATGGCTGACATCATATGGAAGAGAGGGGACTGGCATAGAATTTTCAGAGGTGAGGCTTCACTTGGAGTACTGTGTCCAGTTTTGGGCCCCACCACAGGCAACACGTAGGTGAGGCATGGTGGGGTACATGCCTCCCCTGAGAGCACTGGTGCCTCCCCTGACAGCGAGCACTCCAGCTGGTAGGGGGGGCCCTGCCACCGCCATGCTGCATGCAGAAGTGCCAGCACTTCCACCGCTGCTGTGCAGCCGGCACGCTCAGTGACTGGCCACTGGGGGGACCCCTCTGGTCACTGGCTGGCCACTGGGGGACCCCTCTCCCCCCTCGTTGTGCCCCACTGGTGCCCCCCCCCGCAGACTTGGGAGGCAGCAGTCACCCATGGGCTGCACACTTCAAGAAGGATATGGACAACTTGGGAAGAGTCCAGCGGAGGACAATAAAATAATTAGGAGTCTGGGAGTGTAATGGGGGGCTTTCTCGGGGCCAGTCTGTCATTGGCCCGCCCACCTGTTTCTGGGCCAACCGCCCACCTCCTCATCTGCCATGCCTTGATGATACATAATTATGTTGTTAATTAGGCAGGAGGCTGCCCATTCTTGCCCTGATGCCAGGGGGCGCTATCTGCGGCTCCATTCCTCCCCTACACCACAGCTCAAGGCTCACAGATGGCATCCACAGTTCTTAATGTCACCAGCCCCACACTGGGCCCCAGAATCCTCCAAGTCCAGACCCCAACTGGATCCCTCCAATCAGGTGGCCTACTGTGCCCTCATTCTGGGCTGCCTAGCTCTGTGAATTCTTCCCCATCTTGGGCATGGCCCCCCCGGGACCTTTGGCCACACAGGCCCTGGCCTCACCTCCAAAGCCAGTCAGAACCCCAGGCCCTCAGCTCTGGGCATCCCTCGCGGTGGGTCCCTGACCCTTTTGACCCTTTGGGTCCTGGACCCAGCATTGACCAGTCGAGGGTGTTTCAAGTCAGGCTTCTGAGCCTCTAGCCCACTCCCTAACCTGGGTCTGCCTTCTTGGTCCTACTATGGGGTAACCTACCTGGTTGTGGGAGCTGGGGTTATTAAGGTGCTCCAACCTATCAATACAGACAATCAACTGCCCCAAGACAGACACAGTCAGTCCCACAAGCACCCATGGCACGAGTTTTGTCTGTCAGCAGCTAGGTATGCAGGGCCCCAGAACCCCCCTGCACCAATCTCCTTGACAGCTGGCAGGCATCACGGACACAGCAGGGGCCACCAACCCTGCAGCTTTCACACCGCTGCGCCTTAACACACACTGTCACCCATGGCATGAGTTTTACTTGTCCACAGCTTGAGGAGCAGTTCCCCCCAAATCCCTTCACCGATCTTGAAACTTGGCAGGCTTTGTGGCCTCAGCAAGACCTACCAACCTTGCAGTTTTGACTCCCCTGTGTTGTAACACATAGACATGACAGGAGTTTTGCTTTCAAGACTTTGGGGTGCAGTTCCCCCCAAACCCCTGCACTGATCTTCTTGAAGCTTGGCTGCCTTCATGCGCTCTGCAGAGTGTACCACCTCTGAAAATTTCATCCAAATTGGACAAAAAACAACTAAGTTAGAGATTGTTTTTTTCCCCATTACACCCTGTGACTGTATCTCTGAGGCAGCTCCAAAGCTCTTCAGAAGCTCCGAACCACTTTGGGAAGCCTAACGAAGCCAGCACTTCCACCCAGATGTGCTGCTTTGGACCCCAAAGCATCCGAAGCTTCTCCAGATCCAAAGCTCTGTCCGCAGTCTCGCACAGCCCTAGTGGAAATGGGCTTTTCTCTGTTGCCCTAGGGAACAGGACAAGGAACAATGGCCTCAAGCTTCAGCAGGGGAAATCAAGGTTGGAGTTTAGTAAGAACTTTCTGATGATGAGAGTGGTCAAGCATTACAACAGACTGCCGAGAGAAATTGTGGATTCTCCATTTTTGGAAGTTTTCAAGAGCATCTTAGACACTTGACTGAGATGGTCTAGTTAGGGATGATCCTGCTTCAAGAAGGGGGCTAGACTAGATGACTTTCTGCAGTCCCTTCTAGTCCTGCTTTCCTATGATCAGGCAGGTAAGTAATCATTGGAACAAATTACAATGGGACATGGTAGATTTAGCACAACTGGAGGTCTTTAAATCAAGATGACCTTGTAAAAGATATATTCCAGCCCAACAAAGACTGACATCCCTGATGAATGTATCACTAGGTAAAATTCTCTCACCTGCATTATGCCAGAACTCAGAGAAGATGATCACAGTGACCCTTTCAGCCTTAAAATGTATGAAACTATGAATTAGTTTGGTATTTGGTAATGAGAAATTGGATGGGATCTTAAAACAGGACATTTATGCTATGAATAATAAACACGTGAAGGTTATTACATGACACAACAGGTACACTGGCAGAGTACAGACTGCTGTAAGATCCCTAAAAAAAGCTGCCTTAGCAAATATATGGTTGCTTACCTGGTAAATGAAAGGCAGTAACCTCAGTTAAACAGAAGGCTTTTACCAATGTGAGCTGTGAAGGAAAAAGCCAATGTTTACTTGAAAGATTTCTGTTGTGGTTTCTGTATTCATCACACAGGTGCCTGTCTCTCCCAATTAGATATAACAGTCGGTTTAGGTGGCAGAATTGGGGCTCTAGGAGGAAGGGAAAAAGAAGCCATGCCTTCTCAAATTTAACAAGCAATCTGCTTAGTCAGGGACCATGTGAAGGGAGCTCTTATGGAGCTAACAGACACAGGGATTTTGCATTCTGCTCACCACTAATCAGGTGAGATGATTTGAATAGGCTGGGCTTCTGCTCAGACATCCTTTTCATACCAATCCTTCAGGTGCCCTCAGGCTGCTTTTTCTCATGGCTTCTCTGACAATGCAGGAAGCATGAATCAGATTCACTGCCTAGATGAATTTATCAGTGGTGGTTGTGTGTCAGTTGAATGCAGGAAGTTTCACTGTATGTTTTTCAAAGAGGAACTGGACTAGGACTACCACTACTGAAGGAAGTCCTTAGGTGTATGGACAACAACAACAAAAAAATGTTTAAAATTAAACAGGTTTTCCCTAAGTGTGGCAGTGCACCCCTACAAAAAGACAGTGTCGGTGGTGCCTGTGGGCAGTCACCGCTTGCCACCACCCTCCCCTTCACCAACACCACCGGCGGCGTCTGAGGGCAGTCAGCTATCCCTGCTGGCTACTGCCAATGCTGCCGGCAGCATCTGCAGGTGGTTGCCGACCCCTGGTCACCACTCACCACCCCCCCGCCGACAGCGCCGTCAGCATCTGTGGGAGCTCCCACTTACCACTGCCATGCTCCCGCTGCCGTCATGCCCCCCAGCCACCGGGGGGCACACGTTTATGAGTTTGCCACAGATCAGGCTGAACCAATATAACTATTCTGTTTGCCTACTCCTATACTAGAATAAACCTTAATGCAGCTTCAGCTCCATTTAGCTTGACTTATCAGGATAGAAGTGCAGAGATGAAAGTTACCCAATGCAAAGTTAAGCCAATGCGCACTCCTGAGCAGTAAGTGTGAGGAAAGGCTGAAAGAACAGGATTACTGAGCTTGGAGAAGAAATAGTTTCCTAGTTTCTAGGGTTGGAAGGGACCTGAGCAGATCATCAAGTCCAACCCCCTGCCATGGCAGGAAAGAGTACTGGGGTCAAACAACCCCAGCAAGGTGTTCATCTAACCTCCTCTTAAAGACCCCCAGGGACAGAAGGGCCAGGGTTCTCTGTAGCTCAGGGGCTGCCTGGCCTGTGGGCAGCTTACCGCCCAGCCACAGGAGAGGTGGGCAGGCTCCGTTGAAAAAAAAAAAAAAGGATCAGGCCCTTTGCTGCTTCTGCTTTCAGCAGGTGCCTGCTAAAAGCAGAAGTGGTGGGGGGCCCAATCCTTTTTTTCTGTGGAGCCTGCCCACCTCTCCCACAGCCAGGGGATGAGCTGATAGCTGCAATGCATCATTACGAACTAAATTACATCCAGATGTAGTGTAGTTTGCAATGATGCAAACTCATCTAAAACTCACAAAATGGGTGCATATGTAATGTGTGACACCATTAAGCCACACAAATTACATTTTCATTGAGTATACATCATGATGACCATCACATGTACAAGTGCCCTCAATGTTGATTGAGATGTTTTTTGAGAGAGTGTTTTTAAGGAACCTAAGTGTAGGCTGTAGGCACCTTGTCTCCCTAGCCTGTCCCCAACCCCAAGTCTGATGAGGCTATGTGGGATTTTGTCCCCACTCTCTGTCTTATGTGCCTGGCACCCCACCTCCTTTTTGCAGGCGGGTGGATGACCAGTCCTGCCAGGCTTTAGTCTGTCTTTCTTTGCCCAGGCTCTTGCCAGTCCAAGTTCTGGCCCTTCTATCTTATCTCTTGCCCTCCCAAAACCACTGAAGTAAACTCAAAAAACCCCCCAAAACATTGGGAAAAAAAAATTCTGTGCACTCGGCGCTCTGCTCTGCAGCATCCTTGCCTCCCTCACAGCCAGCCTGGTCCAAAAACAGAAAAAAAAAGAAAGCAAGAAGGCCTTCACTAGACTCTCTATAGTGGGGTGGCCAACCTGCAGCTCCGGAGCCACATGAGCCTCTTCAGAAGTTAATATGCGTCTCCTTGAATCTTTGCACAAGCACAGGGTGACCAGCTTATTTGGGAGTTTTTAGTCTATTTGGGCACCCTAAGCCCCTCCTCATAGGGCTCCCCCACGGTGAACATAAAACCACCTTCCAGTTTACATAGCCCCTTTCTGGGGCCTTCTAAAGCACAACAAAAGTGAAAAATGAAAAGAAAGAAAGAAAAAAAAGGAGGTTTTCAATACTTCCAAAGCACTTGCTCTTTTGCTCCAGGTCAACTGAAATCCCTTCTGTCAGGCGTCAGCTTTCTTGGTGGCAGAGGTTTCTGCCCTTGCCTGTCTCCAGGGCTCTGTCTTGTGCCACCACCACTGTGGCCAGCCCCTTTCCTCTGTCTTGGGGTGAGTTTCTCCCTCACTCAGCCCCACCTGCCTGGTCAGCCGACTGGGCTTCTGGCTCCCTAGGTGCAGGTGTGCTCTATCTCTTGCTCTCCGCCTGCTAGGTCCTGCAGTCTGCTGCAGCACTTTACAAAGGAGGTCACTATCATCATCCCCATTTCACAGCTAAAGAAACTGAGGCACAGAGGGGGATGTGATTTACCAGAGGTTACTCACCAAAGCTGTGGCCAAGCCAGGAACAAACCCTAGGTGTCTCAAGTCCCAGTCAGTTGGAATGACCAACTTACAAGTAACAAAATTAGAGGACTGATTCTGGATGTTCCACAGATGACTAGTCCAAGTATGCTGTATCTTTTTCACTTCAGAGTAACATAGCCAGAAGGGTGTGGCTCTGCAGGCAATTTAATCAGCTCTGATGAGAGGTAGGGATGATTATCTTGAATGAGGTGCTGTGGGAATGCGGCTATGCTCATGTTACTCAAGAGGTAGCTACTGGCAGCTACATCCCAAACAGGAAGCAGCAAAGCCACCAGTCATGCTGCACTAAGCTTCTGCTAAATTAGCTTTACCTTTCATCAGAATTACTTAGTAAAGTCACATTCATGTAGCACTGAAGAGTCATTAGCTGGCCTGGATGCAGCACTGTGGGAATATAGCTATACTGTATCTGCTTCAGGATGGAGCCTATGTCTACCTCCCAACCTGGAAGCAGCATAGCTGTTAGTACATGGTACCAGGCATTGTGCTATATCCTCCAAGTAGATTTAGCAGGACAGCTGCAGACACCAACCCAAACAAATTGTTCATATTCAGGACAAAAGTCTTCCTTCAGAGAATTCTCAGGAATCCTGGGACATAGCTCTGACATTCAGATTTGACTGGAAAATACAGGACAGTTGGTGACCATGAGTGCCTATAGATGTTTAGGGGCTGCACTCTGACTCATGGCACTTTACATAAAGCACCATGAATTAGAGCCCCCCCCATCCAATTCAACAGACCTTTGCCTG